CGGCGCTCGGAGGAGGGGCGTGGCCAGCCCCGTGTCAAAGGCACCCGTGTCCGCCGGGAGCACGCACTGCACTGGCCTGCCATGGTAGTGGCCTTCCGGGACGGCCACGCGGCAGGCCCTCGGGAGAGACGGTGTGGCCCCCGGAACCATGAGGGGCTGAGCCTCGACCGCTGTCTTTACTGCTGCTGTTCAAGCAGAGAGGCTGAGGCTGCAGTGGGCAGACGGGCCATGCCAGGCCCAGGGCCGGCCACCCTGGCGCCCCGAGGAGCAGGAGCAGCCCCACCCAGCCTCTGCCGGAGCACGCGGGACGCACCGTGAACAGGTAGGTGAGCTGACGGATGACCTGACGCGCTGAGGTCCCGCACAGTCCCCTCGTCCCCGCCCGCCCGCTCACCTGGACAAGGTCCCGCACCGTGCCCCGGCCTCGCTCACCTAGACAAGGTCCCGCACCATGCCCCCGGCCCGCTCACCTGGACGACGAAGCCGGTGGACGAGCACTGTCTGACCCAGAGGCTGAACTTCCGCTTCTTCCTCTTCCGCAGCTCCCGCTCCGTGCACGTGGCGATGAACACGGGGTCCTCGTCGATCAGGGGTTCGTGTAGCACCTGCCGAGAGAGAGGCAGAGTCTCGGGAGGCGCGTGCACGCGGGGGCCTTCTGGTTGGGGCTCGAACCCCGTCTCCGCCGTCGACCGGCTGTGCGGCCAAGGCCGAGCTGCTTCGCCTCTCTGACCCCGAGGCTCTCACAGGACAGGTGACGTCGGCATCCACACCGGAGTGCGGAGCGTCGGTGAGAAGCTGGGTGTGGAGCTCTTAGTGGCAGCCGAGGCAAGAAGCGGGGCGCCCGGGGTCCCCCCGGGGAGCGGAGGGCACTGTGGCCTCACCTGGGTCTGGGAGGGCCTGAAGGCGGCGTCGAAGCCGGCCTGCAGGGCGTCGAGGAAGGGCTGCACCTTGTAGAGGCCGGGCGCGCTCGGGCCGGGGCGGAAGGCCACCACGTGGAAGTACTTGAGGATCTTCTCGAAGCGCGCCTGGCTCATGACGCGTGCCAGGCTGTCGTTGCTGTAGAAGCCGCGGCCCCACACGCTCAGGGCCGACTCGCAGCGCGAGGTGCTGGTGGAGATCACGTAGCCCAGGAAGGCCTTCATCTCGGCCAGCGTCACCTCCGCCCAGGCGCCGTCGCCGCCGAAGCGCTCCTGGAACTTGCGGGCGTACATGTTGGTCTGCGCCACCATGCCCTTGAGGACGGCGTCGGGGACGAAGAGCTGGAGGAAGTCCAGGGCGCTGGCGCTCGGGGGCAGCTTCCGGGTGGGACCTAAAACGAAGATGAAGCCGGGGCCGGGCGCTGGCTGCTGCGCCCGACCGCGCCACACCCCGACCGCTGCCGCCACACCCCGACCCACCAGCATGCCAGCCGCCTCCCCGGCCTCTGCCGCAGGCCACCCGCCCCACCCGCTTCTGGGAGGAGCTCTAACCCAGGCGGCCGTGCTCCCGGCCTCCCGTGTACCCCACGTCCCCGAGTCCCGTCACCCGGGAGCCCGGCCCTGGCTTCTGGCTCCCTTTTGTCATAGGTTAAGGAGACTCTGTCACAGGAAACGCTTTCACCACTTGGGCCCGAGAAACTCCGTCCGGGGAGGCTGCGGTTTTTATCAGGTGGGGAACCTCGAATTTCTTAGTGAAAAAATCTAAAGGGACCGGTTGAGATAATTTCACCAACGCAATAAAAATCTCACAGCTTCTGCCTAACGCGGGGATGGCCTTTCGAAATAAACACGCGCACGCACGTCATTCGCGTGCATATTCTTGAGATGGGGCTTGTGCTCCCCGCCCCCCAGGGTGACTCGAGCCAGGCCGGGGTCTGCGCCGTGGAGCGATCTGTGGGGAGAGCCACGTGTGCTCCCAAAGTCGAGTTTCCACGGCGAAACCCAGACAGACGGGCGGGGGCGTGAGGTGCGGCACAGGGGGCATGGTCCGCAGCACCCCAAACCCGGCACACCAGGCGCGGACCCGCCTCCCTGGGCTGCGATCACGCCGTGCATTGGAATGAAAGTCTGACCGCCGTGCCGTACGCTTGGAAGTAACAGAACATCGACTGTCAACTGTAATTGAAAAATAAATTTAAAAGACCGAGAACGTACACAAGAGACCGATGTTTCGGATCCAGACGCAGATCCGGGGAGCTGGAAGCCCCCGTCTGCTCCCCGCTAACTGCCGTCTCAGGCAGAGGCCACCGTCTCCCGGCAGCACAGTGGGCACCGTGACACCGCTGTGCACGGCGGTCGTTTGCGGGGGGACTGGGGACGCTCGGATGTGCCTTGCGCACCTGCCCCGGGAACCCGCCCAAACCCGCGACTCGCTGAGACGGCACAGAAGCCCCTGGCGGCCGGGCCGATGCTGTCACGATGCCACCTTTGCCCTCACTTCACGGAAGGGGAAACTGAGGCCCAGAGACCGAGCGGCCGCCACGCTCACTGTCATCAGCCAGGTCCTGCGCCGGCGCCACGGGGTCCCGCCGCCTCGCCGGGCCAGACCGTGAGGCGGGAAGACAGGGGCCTCGCTGGCCTGGGACGGCCTGAGGCTGCGCCGCCGCCTCCTGAAGCAGAGCCCCCGGCCGCCGGGGGGCGAGGCCTGACATCACTCGGGGAGCCCCCCCAGCAGGAGGAAACCGGCATTCCAACTGCTGCCGCGTGCCGAGCGGGCAGCGTGAGTCTCTTCCCAAAGTCACGTGGAAAGTGACTTCACCTCCCAGGCCACTGCAGATGGGGCTCAGAGACCGGCCTGGCCGGCGCTTGGCGGGGACGGTGGGGAGCGGCCGACGCTGGCGCCGGCTCCACGGCCTGCTGGGCTGGGGCCCGAGTCTGCGAAGAGCTGGTGCCAGCGCGTGGGCGGCAAGCCCAGGTGGCTCTGCCGGAGGTCACCCCACGCGACCCACAGAGGTCTCTGTGAAGGTCCCCCCGCTCTGCAGGTGAGGACTCAGGACACGGCCAAGGTCACCCATTTCCCAGTGCCTTTCGGTGGGGGCGACCGTCATGCCACCTGGCCCAGAGCCAGCCCAAGCATGCCTGCTATCTGCTGTCACCGCTGGCCGTGCCCCCGCTGCCTCCGAGTGTCCCATGGGGACAGGCGGACACACGCTGTCCGCCAGCTCCAGCGGGGCGGGTCCTTAGACCCCCCTCCCGGGGTACGCTCAGTCCGCGGGGGCACAGCAGTCACAAGGCAGCCAGCAGTGTCCCTGAAGGCAGAAGCAGAAGCCACACTGCCCAGACCGCAGTGGCAGCAGGAGCCGGGGGTGGGGGGGCGGTGGTGCCACCGTCAGGCTCATCCGTGTGGGTGGGGCCGCAGCTCTGCGTGGTGACGGTGCCAGTCACATAACCATCTCCCTCCCCCGTCACCGCGTCTCCCTTTTGCAAACCCCTGCCACCACCCAGCTGGTCCCCTGGGCCTCCAGGGCACCCCCCCCACCGCCAACCCCAGGGTGGTGCTGATGGTTCAGTGGGGCTCAGGTCCCCAGAAGGTCCCCTGCCCCCAGCTAGGACACACCCCTTTTCATTGGTGACCAGAGAAGCAGGTGTTGGGCTGAGGGGGGCCGTAACGCCTGGCCTTCCCTCCCCGGGAGTCGGGGTGCGGTGACAGGAGACGGGCATGAGGCTCGGGGCAAGGCTGTGCCCACAGGAGGGGCCCCAAATCCTGATCCCGGGGGGCAGGGTCTGGGAGGCTCACTGGAGGGGCCTTGAGGGTGCTGGGCGAGGAGCCATCAGCCTCCTGGGGAGGGCGGAGGTCACCACTGTGTCGGCAGCGAGAGCGTCTCCTGCAGAGGCCC